AAAAATCTGGTTAAATGCAACAAAGGTCTGCTAGCATTTACTGTCAGCCAGCAAAGCCCACACTTTGCATTCAAGGCAACAACATTCTAAACATTTTCATTCCCTTTTTAATAGGACCTCCTGCCACTTAATTGGTCAGAATTCTCTCAGCACTCGGCTGGTATTGAAAAGCACTTCCTAGAATAGCACATTCTGCTGGATTCACATTTCCAACACCTTTCTTTTGTTTATTTTCACATAGGGAAAATATTATGAGAATAAATTAAAAGCAGTTTCTATTGCTGGCATGGAGTTCTAATTGAGCTGGGAGAAACTTCTCTTTTCTGCTTCTTCTTACCACCAGTAACTTTTTAATATAATTTAGAGCTCATACATCCATTGTCAAATGTGGTCATTTTTTCCAGATGTTCATTATTATTAATGGGAACATTTGAGAAAATGTCAAATTTATAGGTGCAGCAGAATTAAAATGTAGTTTCTTGGCATGGCAAGCATCACATCAAAGTTTCAACAGTCTGTCTCCTACAATGAAAGAAGATTTTTCTTTTTTTATGCCTTGATGTATTGTGCTGAACATTTCTTCTGCACCTTTCTCATCAACTGGAGGTGTGCTTTTGTTCTCAGTAGTAGGGGAAGAGCAGGCAGCGCTGCGGGCCAGAGTTAAACACACCATCAGCTTAGAGTCATTACGTTGCCACAAGTGGTCCAAGTCCAACCCCTTCTGAATTTTGTTGACCCTTACCTAGAGTCAATTTAGTATTAAGCTTTAGTTAACTAGATCTTTATGTATAGGTTCCAGCAATAAGTCTTTGAACTGCAACTTAACATATGATCCTGATCGTGACGGGTCATGCTAATCAGATTGTTTTGCTGCTTTTCAAATAACGGCATCCATTCCTGGCATTTCTACTGTATCTGAAATAAAATATATATATATTAATAAAGTATATGCTCCATCCGAGAATGTAGTTACAACTGTACAACATGTACCATCCAGCATTGCAATGTTCTAACCAGTGTATTGGCGGAGCATTGGTTTTATATAACGCTTGTATTTTTCGTGCATGTGTATGTATTTATGTCTGTGTGTGTGTCTATGTAAAGTAATTAGATCTAGATTAGATTAGAAAATTTAGATGTAAGCTTTTCTTGGACTACTGGATTTTCTTTAAGAAAGACAGAGAAACAATTTGTTATAACTGTGTCAGCAAATTGGAGTCAATCATCTCGATACTTTTTAGCTGACATTGATTTAATATTACAATTTTTTCCCAGGGGATTTTCATCCAAAGAACCTTAGCCACGAAGCCAAAGCAATTGTTAAGTAATCAGTTACTTTTCATTTTAGCCACAAATATTAAAGGGGGAAAAAACCACAGTATTTCCACACTCAAGGGAAATAATAAAATACGATCTGACATCTGGGGTTGCTGAGGCTTACCATTCCCAATTATATCAAGTAATGTAAACCAGTTCAATCTGTGTTGCAATTGGTCATTTAAATGTCAACAACATGTTATTTGTTAGGACTTTGAAACTGTTATCAATGGAAAGAATAGAAATGGGCTGCTTGGAATTAGAAGAATCTTTGAATTATACAAGTCTGCCCTCACGCATCTATCCTGAGATTGTATGTTGGAAAGATAGTCTAAAGGTATCTGAGCATTTGGGGCCTTTGGGTCAATTTGGACTCATACTGAATACACGGACAACTCCATGTACTTTTCTTGGCAACCTTTTTCAAAAATGGTTTGTTGTTGTTGTCTGTTTTCAAGGCCTGAAAATGACTGGTCCAAGGTCACATGGCTGGCTTTTGCTTAAGTAGACCTGGAGTTTCTCTATTCCTAGTCCAGCACCCTAACCACTAGACCAAGCTATCTCTTATCTAAATAAGATGCATCTTATCCAGGGGTGGGATTCTACCGGTTTGCACCTATTCGCTAGAACCAGTTGTTAACATTCTAAGCAGTTCGGAGAACCGGTTGTTAGAAGAAATTTCGGGCTTAATCATGTAAGGAAGGCAGGAAGGAAACATTCTGGTGTTGCTTACAGAAACTGCCTCTCCGCTAATCCTTATTACATTCTTGGCAGGACTAGGCTTTCTGTCTCAAGAACATCACTGGAGTTTTCCCCCCCTCTTTTGCTGGTACTTTGCTTGTGTGGAGTGACCATTCAAAGTTACAATGGCATTGAAAAAAGTGTCTTATGACCATTGTTCACACTTATGACTGTTGCAACATCCCCACAGTCATGAGAGGCCAGGCAAGGAGATGCGTGCCTCAATGTGAATGATGTTGAGTTGGCCACACCCAGCCAGTCACATCACTACAAAGCCACACCCACCAACTAAGCCATGCCCACAGAACCGGTTGTTAAAAAAATTGAATCCCACCCCTGATCTTATCTAAAGAAGATATAAATGGCGTACTGCCAGATTATACTGTATATGTCCCGCAATGACATAGGCCCCAATTCTGTTATCTGCACAGAATATGATCCCTTACCAGTTGGGGGAAAAAGAAATCAGACTTCTGAATTCATTGTTCCTTTCAGTTAGAAGTCTCAAAGGTGCATGGTCCCAAGAATACATTAAGGCAGAAGTTTGTCTACCCCTAGGAAAAAATACCCAGTCCCAGACACAAATGGAGCACTGTGGTATATATGTACAGTGCAGCGGAGTGAGGCATGTGCAGATCTGTACATTGGAGAAATAGCACAACCATTTCATAAACATATGGGACAACGTAGGAGAACAAACCCATCAGGACAAGCTTCAGCAGTCCATCTGCAGTTGAAAGACAAAGGTCACTTTTTCGAAGACAGCAAAGTCCACATTCTGGACCGAGGACCACTGGTTTGAGAGAGGGGTCAAAAAGGCCATCTGTGTTAAAATGGATCAGCTCTCTCAGCAGGGGTGGGGTGATGAGATATTAACACCATCTATCTCCTGTTACCAACACACTCCTTTCAGCAGTTCCAAGAAGGTTCCACACCTGTTTGCACTCTGATTCAAATGACCCTGAGGGTACAGATACCGCCCCTCCCAGGATCTCAACAACTCTCAGAGCACTAAGGAAAGGATGTCTGCAAAGAATATAAATCCTTTCATTTCCTACCATTCAATCAGAACTGAAGAAGTTATTTGGATGAGAAGCAAAATGCTTTCAAGGAAAAAAAAAACCCAAAGTCCAGTTGCCTACTGAAAAGCACCTTTGAGACAACCATGACCTGAATGGTTGAGAATGTCCATACATTTTCGTTGGAAGGCTGCCCCAAAGAACCCTTCCTGCCATGCCTTTTCCCCATCTCTTTCTCTGATGAATTCCTCAGTCCACAACATTTCAGAGGAAAAAGATCCCAGCCTCAGGCCTGGCAGCTACTTAGGAGCAGTATATTCTTCACTTGTCTCCTATAACATTTAGACAGGCTTTCTTTCTATTTGTTATGTGGGGGTGGGTGGGCAGTGGAGAATGACGGGCCAGTTTTGATCTGTCAACATTTTTCCAATACGAGCAGTCCTTGACTTACAATCATTCATTTAGTGATTGTTCGAAATTACAACTGCACTGAAAAAAAATGACTTGTGACCATTTTTCACACTTATGACAGTTGCAGCATCCCTATGGTCACAGGATCAGCATTTGGCAACTGGCATGTTTTTACGATGGTTACCTGTGGGTCATGTGATCATGTTTTGTGACTTTCTGACAAGCAAAGCCAACGGGGAAGTGGCAGTCGTGTTACTAGTTTAACACCAGCAATGGTTCAGTGGTGTGGCAAGAAAAGGTGTAAAACTGAGCAAAATTCACTTAGCAACTCTCTCGCTCAGAAACATAAATTTTGTCCTCAATTGTGGTCGTATGTTCAGGACTACCTGTACCCTACCTCAAGCATAGGTTTCTCTGAATCTCCTGAGAAGATTGTCATTCAATAAAGTACATTCAAGTATTCCAAACGTAGTTTTCTGAGCAGCCAAATCCTCCAGTAATTGAGCCCATCAGACTCCATGGAATCAATTTGACTGAGATTATAACTTCCATCCTCCTTTCCAGAAACCTTCTTGGTCAATTCATTTCTGCCATAATGAAACAGCTTAGTTATTCTGGCTGCCACTCCCTATCATCCATGAGGTACCCCACCGGGTGTGTAAAAAAGATAGTGGACACACCTGGAATTCTGAGCAGGTGACTTTTCCTCAAACAGCCGCTACTGGAGAAATAGCATTAATAAAATATCCAACCTGGTGGTGCAGACAGACTTATCACAAAGCAGGATTGTAACAGAAGAGAATCTACCAAGGATGCTGCTAAATTCCAGATTCCCCACCTGTGCAAATATCACCTGCAAACCCATCAGATCCTTTATTTATTTATTTATTTATTTTCTAAGCCAGACTGGGATGCTCCCTGGGTAGCCTAGAGAGGCGCGCTTGGAAGTTCAGAGTGATGCTGGAGGCTGCTAGTTCGTCATTTCATCATCAATGTTCAGTTTTTTTTTAAAGAGGGGAAGAGAAAAAAAAGAATCTTAAAACACAACATTCAGCTGACCCGAGGTAAACCAAAATAAAATCTCTAGGGGAATCCAGGCTGATATTTAAAGATTACTTCGCAAGGTTATTTTAGACTCGGGAATGATCGAAGCGTACAGTACTGGGTCTCCGATATTCTTGCACAGGATTTAATTTTTCTCCAGGGACGCGTCGCTCGTTTGTTAAAAAACAAACGAACAAACAAAAAAACAGACAAGATCGCGCCGTTCCGGGCTTCTAATATGACAAACCTCTCCCTTCTCCGCGTTATTTATCCTCCGCCCCTCCTTCTCTCCTCAGGCGGCTCCCTCGGCAAAAGTTTATCCACGCGGAGGCGCACCGCGGACGGGGAAGCCCTCCTTGCCCGCCCCCTCCTCTCCAAGGGCTCCTTGCCAGGCTCCGCCCCCAGCCCAGCGCCTGGTTAAAGCAAGTTTCGGGCCTGGGGTGTGGAGAGAGGCAGGGGTGTGTTTTTTTTCTCCCTTCCCTCCCCCTCCTTCACCGGCTGTAGCTTTTGAATTAGCAAGGGAGATTCACGTGCCAGTGTTTGGGGATCTGGAAGAGAACGCTTAACAGGGCTCCCTCAGAGTCTTGCCTGCTTGAGATCGTTGGGGCTCCATTTATTTTATTTATTTATTTTTTTGCCCACCATCTAGCTGTGCCACAGAGCTTGGATCTAAGAGCGAAGGCTGCCAGTCTGAAGCAGCGTTAGGAATTTATCTTTCGGGGCAAACTGCAGCAGGTAAGAGGCTCACTGAAGCTCGCCTTTGCAGGATGTAAAATGAGGCGTAGTCGTCTCTCCCCCCTCCCTCTTTCTCTCTCTCTCTCTCTCTCTCCTTCCTTCTTCCCCCTCTTTTCGAGGTGGTGCAGTTGGAGTGCTAGGAAAACAGGTGAGTGGGTGAAGAAGCGGAGTAAACCTGAGGGTCTTGCTAGAAGTGTTGTGGGTCTATTTCTTTCTTGGAATCTTGTTTTTTGGGGTTTTTTTTTTGAGGAAGCACCTGTGTGAGTGATTTGGGGTCATCCTCCTGTCCGCTGAGCCGGGATGCTGATCTCATCATCTAATCCCATTCCTGGTCCCTGAACAGTAAATCTCTTTGAGATTGGCAAGGTTTATTAAAAAAAAAAAACAGGAATATATAAGTAACGCTTGTTGAATGTGTGTTTATTGGCTTTTTTCTTTTTTACAGGCTTTGTGTTTGGCATGTTAACAATAATGAATTTTCTTTTAGTTCAACATGTTGCTCTTTAGGCTAATATGAACCAGGTGGGTGTAACAGCATTGATGGTTCAGCTAGAAAGATTAAAAGCAACAAGAAAAATAACACTGGCCCTGAAATCAGTGTAACTTTGGTGACTTTGGGGTCCTTAATATTTTCTGCTAAGTGCCTTTCTAAGTCATTGTGCATCTGGAACAGAAGCTGTTGAAAGTAAGGGGATGTTGCGTTAAACACAACTTTTATTCTAATAGGCCTGGATACCTGTTAGATTCTCAGATGCTTATGGTCACAGACAGGACTTGCCTGTGCTTTGATGAAAACTTAGTTCAAGCAGGACAGAAATACCTCTGCTTAAGGGAAAGGCAATCCCAGGGAGTAAGGATTCAAGCTTTCTTTAGACACTCAGATCCATAGCTTGAATGTACTTCTGGATTCAGATTTTGGCAGTGACCAGAAGAGCTTTGCCTTAACTAAGAGTTTGGCAGCATTACCAGTTCTTAGGGATTTCATATCGGGCTGTAACCCCAAATGCCGTTGCTCTATCTCATTTGGGCTGTTTTAACACACTCCACATGGAAACTTTCTTGGAAAAATCTTCAGAGGCTTTAGCAGGTCCAGCACTCTGTCAGCTGGCTGGCTCTAGAGAACAGGGAAATCCTTTTCTCCAACATTTGCACTTTGTAGCTCTCTTTCTGCTTGCAAATCGAGATGTTGGTTGTGACTGTACAACCTCATACAACTGTATTGTCCCAATACAGTTCAGGTCCTAGACTATACTCTCTTCCTCTAGGAAGAGAGTAGTGGCAGTGTAAGTTGTGTAAAACCCTGCATATGAGGGCATAACATCTGGGTAGTATAACATTTGTATCTCTGTGCTCTGAAATTTCAAAGAACAGTTTATACAGCACCATTCTGACAGGTCCTTGAGAGAAGTCCTCCTGTCTTTAGTGATCTGTTTGGTGAACACATTAAAATAAGCTTGGATTTAAATAAGTGAGATATCTATTCCTAGTTTCTGGAACTCTATGTTTGATTGCTTTATTGTCATCAATTTTGGAAATTTGTTTTTCATGAATAATGTGAGATGATGAATTATTTTCCAGAACCTGCTTCTGAATCAAAAGGAAACATTTGTACACCTTGCAAGTAAAGATCACTTTTTACATTGTTTATGAATTTGCCTTATTCTGCTTGGAATCATCTTACATTTACACCAAACATTAAGTCTTGTAGAGAATTCCATACCTGAGCCATTACTCTATGGAGAAATATTTTATTTGATCTGTCTTGATATCATTAAGTTTTATTGGGTTACTTTATGTTCTAGATACATTTGTGCACTGACACACACGTATACATCATACTGTATGTAGCATGTCTTCCTATACCTTATTACTATTATAAATGAGGTCTCCTGTCTTGTCTAAAAGAAAAAAAATGAGATGCTGAAATCCTGTTCATATGAAATTGTTTTAGCCTATTAAACATTTTGATTGTCCTTTTTTTGGCATTTTTCTAGCTAAGTGGTGACTTCACAGTGTCTTTTTTCATTATTTATAGGTCCTAAGCCATTCAAACATATATTTGGCTACTCTGTTGGTCTTAAGTGGGCAATCTTGTTCACTGATAATTATAAGAGTGATTATTATGGAACTCAGATAACTCATCAAACTTAAATATCTATTTCTATAATATCATTGGCATGTGGGCAACCCATGCCTAAGGAAACGCTGGTGTATGGGACAAATGCATTGTCATAAATGCATCATTGGTATCTTAAAGGAGCAGAACCCTGAATTTTACATGATCTCTCATTCTAAAAGATTGGGGGGAAAACCCCCACACAGTTAAAACTGTGGTGTGCTCAGCTTTTATATTTTGTCAGCTAAGGCTGCTAATTCTAACTAAAATCAATCCTGTGATTTACCCCAATGAAATATATGTGTATATGTGATACACTTTTTATTGTATTTATTCGTACTGTATGCATTAAGCATTGTTCATTAATGATTTGTATCGAAAACCCTGGTCATGGTATAAGTGTATGCAGTGGTGGGATTCAAATTTGGTGGGTGTGGCAGGGAAAGGTTACTGTAAAATCTCCAGTCAGAGATTATATTTGCCGGTTCTCTGAACTACTCAGTATTTCAAAATTTCCACTATAGGCTCTCCGGAACTGGTCAGAACCTCCTGAATACCATCTCTGTGTGTATGGAGATAATCATCCAGGTTATGGTTGACCCAAAGATGCTTTTTTCCCCTCAAAAGGCAACTGGACTTTGTTTTTTCTTTGAAAACGTTTGGCTTCTTATCCCAAAAGCTTCTTCAGCAAAAGGTTTTCAGAGAGAAAAAACAAAACAAGAAATCCAGTTGCCTTTTGAGGAAAAAAAAGCCCCTTTGGGACACCTTGTGTCATGATAGTGATGTTGGGTAGCACACAGAGAATTAAAGCCAACAAACAAAACTGTATAACAATAGAACCTAAGAAATAATAATTTGTGTGAACTTAAAATTCCAACATTAATACATACAGACCCACATTGCTCCACCGACATGGCTGGTTTAACTTACTGGCTCTAATAACTGTGGGAAGATCAAAGTCTTCAATGCCTTATGAAAGTCTAGAAGGGTTAGAGCCCTGCTGATGTTTGGGGATTGCTGTGTATGTCAAAGGATCAGGTAAAAAAAAGTTACATTAGCTGAGTGAATTACTAATCCAAACTATTTGCCTAAAAAGTAAGGTTTCCATTTATAAAATTGAACGATTCCTTGGTGTGCATATACCATTCATTTTTTTGTCCCAGACACTTTTTTGTTCCTTCCTTTTTTTCACCAGGATGGGATAAAGAGATGAGATAGCTGCTCTGAGAAGAAGGGCTAAGAGACAGAGAGGAGCAAAACCTGTGATGGTGATGATACTGAATAAGTAGAAGTAACTGGAAAAGGAAGGATAGAGGAGAGAGATGCTCTGTTTAGATGGTATAAAAAAGAATTAAAATTCAGCAGGCAGATAGTACCTTTCACCCAATGGCTAATCTTCAAAGGGACCAGCACTTTTAAGCAGTGTATCTGTAGGTATCTATACCAGGATTTCCCACCAGTGCAAAATCTTTTCTTCTTTACAAATGTAGAATGACCCCTTCCCCGATTCTTAAGAAATTATACTGGGAAAGAGGGAATTTTATTTATCTGCATTGCTTCAATCATTTGTATTAGCCGCACTCACTCGTCAGCAACTACTAATGTTCCTGACTGACTCTTGCTTGGGCACACTGGTGCTGATATTGGCTACTGAGCTGCTGTGAGCTGTTAATTAAAGCTTTCCTCAGTGTCCTGGAATGTCTGATACAATGTTCTTCCAATGCAAAATAGGACATTTTTGTTTGAAAGTGTATCTTTGTTCACTCTTGAGGCCAGCTAAACCTGAAGCTTAAGGGGGTTGAGAAGAACAAATATTGGCCCATATAAAAATTCTACTGATTCTTGGTCCCATACCAGAAGCTAATGTGTAATTGTAAAATTCTTTAGTTTGTAGGTCTTAAAGTTTAGGTCTTTGGTAAATATCTCTGTGTTGGAGTTATGAACTGTTTCACTCATTGTGCTAATGTACAATTGCACTGTGGTTTGTTGCATCACAATTGTGTAGATTCGTACACCACAGTGTGCTAAAAAGTTCATCACACCTTCTTGGCATCCTCTGGGAACTCTGTGTCCCGCACCTCACTCCTCAATAAAAATCCATGTCTTCTTTAAATGAGTTGCTATAGAAAACAAATTAGAATCTGCCTTGGAGGCTAGTTTAAGGCTAGATTCACACATTATTCTGAAACAGTCTTTTATCCAGTCATGTTTATCAAACATGCCATGATAGAGTGAGTTTCCTAACACTAAATTTTAATTTATAGTTTACAATCCACAATGGGTGGCTTTACAAAGCATGCTTGGTTAAAACCAGATAAATGCTAGTGTTAAGTTTGAGCAATGAGAGGCTGAACCAGAGCATGAGTGCAA